CAGGGGTCTCAAACATGTGGCCTGGGGGCCATTTGCGGCCCACCGGACGATAGTTTGTTGCCCCTGCCTTGCCTGCCCCTCGAAGCGCCCACGCGTCCTCTGCTCTCAAGAGTAAAAAAAAGCCTTGCCTCACTCACTGTCTCCCAAGACAGCGCCTCTTGCACCTTCCATCTGGAACTGTAGCCTGCCAGCCAGCCTGCCTGCTTGTGCGAAAGCATGCCAAGTTGAGTATCCCTTATCAAAAATACATGCATATAATTATTTTAAAAGTTTGTATAAATTACCTGGCTTGTATTACTTTAGTATTTGTTTCCATTTACTAGAGTTAATGGTTATTTGTCAATAAAAAGTGTCTGTATCATTGAAAATTCTGTTATGTTTTGAAGACAAGATGATTAATTCAGACAACTGTATGACTTTTTTTTTCTAAACTAAAACATCAGATTTAATTGCAGTGTTGGCACTTCAAAAGAAATAATTTGGTTTTGTGTCGCCGTTTGGGCACTCGGGCTCAAAAAGGTTAGCCATCACTGCCCTGGTAGAATGGGCCCAAACTGTGGTCGGCAATGGTCCATCAGCCAGTTCATATGCCAGGTGGATTGTAGTAACTATCCACCGGCAATTGTTTGTACTGACACTGGGAGACCCTTTGACTGTCCTTGGAAGGATACAAATAGCCTGTGTGAGGAATGAAAGGACAGAGAATGGGAGATATAATATGAAAGTGCCCTTTCGACATCCAAGGAGTGAAGTCGAAAAAGCCGGGAGGTCCAGAAAATGGATTTAGTGAGGTCAAAGGGAAAAACAAACGTGAAGTTCTGATCCGAGTAGCTGCAATAGTGGCAGAAATGGAACTGAGGCACTCAGTGCCGAGGGTGGGCTTATAGCCAGCATGTGGGAGGTCCCAGCACCATGTGCCTGAGCTCTAAAAGATTCTGAGGCTGCTCTGCGCAGATTAACCCATTGTGCATTCACAGAGACGACCAAATTACTTCTATCACTTAGAGTGTCCACAAGGGTGGGGCATTTACCCTTGCTAAGTGCAATACTGTATTACTTTTGAACTTAGCACAGGGACATGCGGCCTGGGGGCCATTTGCGGCCCACCGGACGATAGTTTGTTGCCCCTGCCTTGCCTGCCCCTCGAAGCGCCCACGCGTCCTCTGCTCTCAAGAGTAAAAAAAAGCCTTGCCTCACTCACTGTCTCCCAAGACAGCGCCTCTTGCACCTTCCATCTGGAACTGTAGCCTGCCAGCCAGCCTGCCTGCTTGTGCGAAAGCATGCCAAGTTGAGTATCCCTTATCAAAAATACATGCATATAATTATTTTAAAAGTTTGTATAAATTACCTGGCTTGTATTACTTTAGTATTTGTTTCCATTTACTAGAGTTAATGGTTATTTGTCAATAAAAAGTGTCTGTATCATTGAAAATTCTGTTATGTTTTGAAGACATGATGATTAATTCAGACAACTGTATGAGGTTTTTTTCTAAACTAAAACATCAGATTTAATTGCAGTGTTGGCACTTCGAAAGAAATAATTTGGTTTTGTCTCGCCTTTTGGGCACTCGGGCTCAAAAAGGTTAGCCATCACTGCCCTGGTAGAATGGGCCCAAACTGTGGTCGGCAATGGTCCATCAGCCAGTTCATATGCCAGGTGGATTGTAGTAACTATCCACCGGCAATTGTTTGTACTGACACTGGGAGACCCTTTGACTGTCCTTGGAAGGATACAAATAGCCTGTGTGAGGAATGAAAGGACAGAGAATGGGAGACATAATATGGAAGTGCCCATTCGACATCCAAGGAGTGAAGTCGAAAAAGCCGGGAGGTCCAGAAAATGGATTTAGTGAGGTCAAAGGGAAAAACAAACGTGAAGTTCTGATCCGAGTAGCTGCAATAGTGGCAGAAATGGAACTGAGGCACTCAGTGCCGAGGGTGGGGTTATAGCCAGCATGTGGGAGGTCCCAGCACCATTGCCTGAGCTCTAAAAGATTCTGAGGCTGCTCTGCACAGATTAACCCATTGTGCATTCACAGAAACGACCAAATTACCTCTATCACTTAGAGCGTCCACAAGGGTGGGGCATTTACCCTTGCTAAGTGCAATACTGCATTGTACTTTTGAACTTAGCACAGGGCAAATATATGGTTTACCCACAGAACTGAGAGTCTGCCCTTATGGTCAGGGAGTGGTTGAATCCTTGCAGCATATGTTGTTCTACTGTATTTTGTCTAAGTATATTCACCTGTCTTATCTGAGCACTTTCCTCCCATTCTGGATGGGATGACCTGAGAAAACTTCGACACCTCTTAGATGGCACTATTAAGGAACTTACCCTGATAATAGCCAGATACATCTACTCTATGATGCGGAGTCGATACAGCATGCTGTCGGAGAATGCCAAGACCTAAATATGCATTTGGCTGTTCCTTGCCACATGTTAGCTGTTGAATGTTTTATCTGCATTTTAATGTGTTTTAATTTTGTACAGTATGCCAAAAAAGGTTTCGGTCATATCCAGTAAGACCATTTTCAAATGTTGTACAAGCAGAGATAGATGCAGGAACAGGTTTGTCCAGTTACACTAGAGCAGTGAATGCTTTTTCCCCTTCCATTATCATTACAAAAGGTAGGTGGAAACTGGATCTGGCATTATTAGCAGTCAGTATTCATGGAATGATACTTAATCAGGTCATACATGCTCTTCTTAATTAGCCAGATTTTGTACAATTAATGTGAACAAAATGTGGAAAATACAAATCAATTTCACTATAAATGCCACACTTGTTCCAAGAAATTGACTGTTCTGTCATGTTAAGTTGAATTAGGACCCTCTACTCTTGCTTACTTAAAATAAGTCTGAATTTTACAAGCCACTTAATCTTTGTTTTCCAGCATCTGAATGGCCAGTACCCTCTTGTAGAGCTCTACCAGTGTAGCAGAAATGACATCACAAGGAATGGAAGAGTTGCTTTTTTGATTTCAGTGTTTAATGTGCACATGACAAATATATGCACACCCCCAAAATGAGCCCTATATTAGCATCCATCTGACAGTGATGTCATTCCTGGTGCATTGTGGAGCTTTGCAAAAGATACAATGGTGCCTCAACTTACAAAATTAATCCATATTGGAACAGTGGCCTTAACTCAAAATTTTTCATAAGTCGAAGCACCATTTCCTATTGAAATACATGGGGATGGGATTAATCTGTTCCAGCATTTCAAAAAAATACAGAAAAAACCAAAAAAATTAAAGCACACAGAAAGCCCCATAGGAAGGCACTGGGGCCTAAAAAAACAAAAGCACACAGAAAGCCCCATGGGAAGGCACTGAGGCCTTAAAAAAACAAAAATAAACAGAGCAAGCCCTAAAGGCTGCAAAAAACCAAACAAATCCAAAATAAACATCCAGCAATAACAGAGCAAGCCCTAAAGGCTGCAAAAAAGCAAACAAACCCAAAATAAACATCCAGCAATTCCCCACGCTGGGACTGCAAAAAACAACATAGCACAGAAACATAACCCCCCTCAGTCAAAACCTACCCTGCAAAACCCACCCAGAAGTTTCTAAAAAGGAAAAAGCAGCACCTTATCAGGCAGACTGAAGCCTCCTCCAATGGCACTCACTCCTGGCGGGGAGCCTCCTCCTGTGCCGCTGCCGCTGCACACCCCGTCCATGGAGGAGCCCCTTCCAACTGCATGCCTCAACCCAACCCAGTGCCTTTGGCTGCCCTTACTCATGAGTAGACCCAGACCTTCTCTGGGCCATAATCTTGAGTATTTATTTATTGAATTTGTACCCCGCCCATTTAGTCAACTGACTACTCTGGGCGGGGAGTAGACCCGCACCAGGGATGGGCAGGAAGCGCACCGGCTTCCTGTGCCCAGCAGCGATCTGGAGCTGCCCCCACCTCTCCTTCCTCCTCCTGCCCCGCAGGAGTAAAGATGTTCCCTGACCCCCAGCTCTAACCATTGGGGTGAAAGAGCTACAAAGAAGCAGCCTGTTTGCCACCAATGGTTTGAATTTCCCCCCCTTTTCCCCTGCCTTTTTCTGTTCGTAGGTCGAAGCTCTGGTCGCAAGTTGAAGCAAAATTTTGCAGCTGGAGCTTTTTGTAACTCGAAATTTTTGCAGGTAGGTGCGTTCGTAAGTCAAGGCACCACTGTAATGGCCATTGTTTCTCAAATCTTGAAAATCTAAATCTATTTGGAAATCACTTCTTCCTTTTATGATTTGTAGACATCTTTCTGGCTTTCATAATTAAGAACTAATTCAGAGCTTGTCCAAATTGAGCACTTGTTCATTGCCACTAAGTAAAGATTTTTTTATTATTTCTGTGCACACTACTCCACTTTGGTTCTCTTTAGAAAATTAGCATCTATTCTACAAAACTGGAGTATTTCAAAAAGATTGAAGAAACTCTTCATAACCCTTTAAAATGATATCATCTGCTGGTTCTTTTTTCCTTTGGTTCACTAAATCAGAGCTGAACTGTAAGGTTGCAATGGCAGCAGACATCCACTGTTAATCCACCCTGTAAATCTTCAGAACCTGCTGTTTTAAAAACTTGGATGAAATCCTGGAAATGATCTCCTACTGGATTTCTGGTTTTGGTCGTATTTAAATGGCACAGTGCTAAATTGAAAAATGTCTGAAACAGCAGGCTACTGTTAAAATCCGTATCAGAAAGCAGCTGCCTTCAAAAGCCACTGCTTTAGCATAGTAAATTACAACTAAAGTACATCTATTTGAATAAATGGAACTAACAGAGGACCTAACTCACCACATCACCACTCATTCAATGGGTCTACTCTAGTGAAACTTACTATATTAAATAACAAGATTTCAGCCACTGAAAATGAATCAAACATATTCCAACCTCCACAAAAGTCCTTAAATCAAATTGAAAAATTCTTTGAAAATACAATCAAAAACAAATACTGTCATCACTAATAAATTTGTCTTCAATATGTTTAAGGTTTTATTTTTAAAATAGTATACTATACAGAAAATTATTCCAGATTTGTTGCTGGCCATTCATGGCAAATCTTCCATTTCAGGAATATTATCATGACAAAGAGATCCAGTAATCAACTTTATACAATTGAACTTCTGATGTTAATAAATACTTCAGTCTCCAAATTCAAATGGAATCAGGGAGCATTTACAGCATTTTAACTATGAAAATATTATTTCAATTATAGCATTACTCCCTAAATTAGCACATCTACTTACCTGATAAAGTTTCCTATAAAGCAACTTGTTCTAACATGTTCACAATCCAGCTATTTTAAGTTTCCTACAAAGGTATAGAACTTGACACTTACACAGCTGATTTCCTAATGCGAACAAGTAGAAGATTTTACAGTGTTCTGCTACAATAATCCACAGTGGGGTTAATGCTAATGTGTATTTGGAGTAACAATTAAACTAGCAAATAGAAATCCTAGAATATAATTATTTTTCACCACGTTTAAGAATCTGAATCACAGAATATACAGGCTTCATTCCAGTGTGCTATGGATGCAATGTCAACAGAAGGATCCTAAGGACATGTAACACATCCCAATTCTCTTCCAGGCTATTACAAAGTGTTTGTACTAGGATATCATGATGATGGGAAGCTTGTGCATACTTCCCAAATTGTCATCCAATACTCATGGTCCACTGAGTCAACGAAAAATTAACTCAGATCTCTATTCTTTGACCAAGTGGAAGTGTGAGGGCTCAACAGGAGACATTAGTAATGCATGCAGGCCTCCCAGTCCCTCTAATAACTTTACAGAGAAAAGAGATGGGTCTCTGGTGTTCTATGAGAATCCCTCTGAATGCTATACCCGCAATGGACTGGATTGAGCAGCTGATCTACTTCACATCTAAACAAGTATGCATCGAAAAGCAGATTTAAGTATACTTGTGATTTAAATTGCTTAGCTTATGCTAAAAGCTGCAATCTACCTCCCGCTGAAGTCAACAACAAGCTCACATTGATTTACTGGTTCTATACTTTACCCAAAATCCAATGCATAGGCAATAGGCGTGCTAATTAGGACATGCTCTTCAAATTTTTGAATATCAAATTCTATATACACACATTTAACTTAAAGAGCACATCAATAAAAAGCACTTACTTTACAGTCACTTTTGCTTGAAAAAATAATCTATATTTAACTTGTGGAATCACACCAAATCATTCTAACTTGCAAAGTTTAAGTCTGTTATAGCAATAATATGGCAATGGATAGTTTAAAATAAACTTTTTAGAGTTCTTGCTGGTCATCATTCGGGAAATTCATATTTCAGGAGTCAAAAATACATAAACAGCAGTCACAAGAAAACTCAAACCTTAACATTTGCAGACAATTCTGCTACAATGTTCTGTAACAGACATAATATTGCATTTTACACAATTAAACCATGCTGAGAGCATGAAAACATTAACAGTACAATGTAGAATGGGGGATACATCTGATTCATAATTTAATTACTAGTTGCTCAAACAAACAAAAAAACACCATAGCCCTTAAATTTAAAAATAAAATCTTTGAAATATTGCTAAGAACCAGTACAAAACTGCATTTAAAAAATCATCAAGTTGCAAATTACTGAAGGGCACTTAAAATAACTGGTTAAACAAGCCACCACCCAGAATACTGGGGCTGAGGTGTAAACAGAGCAAATTCTGAAACTATACGCATGTAATGATAAAACAGTAAATTGGCAATAGTTGTTTAAAATAACATTTTCTTGCTATACTATCTTTTAAATTCTGTCCCGGTTGTTCTGTGCTGTATATAAGTTGCCCACCTTTTCCTAGTTCCAATTTGCATTGTTAGATGATTTCCCAGAGAATAAGGTATCAATCTATCATTCAACTGCATTGAAATATATATCTATATCTATATATACATTCCTGCCAGTTCCCCTCACTGTAAGCCACGAGCATCATACCGGCTAACAGTTACTACAGCACTGCTAAAATTATATGTCACTGGATTGGTTCCACATAGTTTGCAGGATAAAGGCCAACTTGTCCATTGTCTAGGCGTCCTTTGCACCAGCCTTGTTCATCTTCATCTTCTATTTTAGTTAGCTCTTCCCCTGTGGACAAAAGTAATTGTATGATAACCTACAAAAATAATTCCCAGAAATGTTTTGAATATTATTATTTCTTCCCGTAATAATTACAGTGTTTCCCCTGTACATAAAGTCTTGAAATATATACCATGTTTTCCTGAAAATAACATAGGGTCTTATATTAATTTTTGCTCCAAAAATGCATTTGGGCTTATTTTCGGGGGATGTTTTATTTTTTTCATGTACAGCAATCTACATTTATTCAAATACAGTCATGTCATTTTCTTTTTGGTTGCTGCATAATGGTGAAGGGCAGAGTTTCACTTCACTGGGTCTTATTTTTGGGGTAGGGCTTATATTATGAGCATCCTGAAAAATCATACAAGGGCTTATTTTCAGGGAAATGGTATGTATCTTTGGAATATTAGATACCTTTCTATCACTCTGCTTCCAACTTCCTATATGGATCTAAACCATTTCTTAAAGTGTCAGGTTGATTGGTTTACAGTCTATTAGGCAAATCAGTGGATACTGACATTCAGTATTCTTTGATACAATGAAAGCATATCTAATGTCAAACAGGACAAGACAAACCTACACTGACCTTGCAAATATAACCCCAGGGTTGTATATTTCAAGTTTTAAAACTCAGAGACCATTTGTTTGGGAGGATAAAGATGAATAGATAGTTAAAAGACAATGCACAGAGCAACAGTGTATTTTATATGCACCTTATTTACTACTGAGGATGCAGTAAGAAAACCTTACCCTACTCAGATCAGACTAAACATAATAAAATGTCCACTGCTTCTGATGTAAGCTTTTTGAAGTACCAAAGATATAAATTCTTAATATACTTCTGTTCTCACTCTAATGCTACAGTGTTTCAGCTGGAAAACAGGACTGAGCTGAAACAGTCTGGCCAGAGAAATCCAATGCTGTTTACAAATTTTTCAGGGGGTGGGGAGCTCTCCCCAGCATAGAAGGATGGATTTTTGCATAGTGAGGGCTGATGAGAGAAAATAAAGTACATAAAGCCTTTTTATGGTCTGCCATACTTGATTTTGTTGTCTTTTTAACTAGTTAAAATTAAATGTTATTTAAGCAGGCCTTTGGTCACTGATCACAATATTCTACTACTATGTTGTTTCTAAATGATTTAACCAGTATTAAATGGACAAAATCCAGTTCATTTTGGCATAATGTAAAGTTACACTGGCATAAAACCTGGCAACAAGGAACTGCTACTATGCAGTTAAGCAGTCAGTTGCACATCCTCAGCATGACCACTGCACAGTGCACTAGCAGAAGTACTTTGGGGCACAACCTCAAATTGGGCAACAGGCTTCTAGTCACTGTGTATTTGTTTTAATATGATAATTTATCAGATCCTATTTTAATATTGTCAGTTATTGTGGTTTCATTTATTGTGTATTTTAAATGTGTATTTTAAAATACCTTTGGCTGTGCAAGCAAGCAAGATTAAAATAAAATATTCTCAGCTGAAATTAGCCAGCACTATGGCTCTTACCTGCTTTGGAAACAGGACTGCATGTGTATCTGGAAAGATGTGAGGTGATGCTGCATAATTATTATAGCAGAATAGTATTTTTTAGTACACTGTAGTTATCTTTTTTTCAATATAGCACTGTTAAAAACCGTGTACTGTCATCATGATGCATCCATCCAGAGCCAGTTTGTACACACAGACCTGAACCCTTATTTTCATACTACTGTACATGGATCTGTATATACTCTCCACTACTGCAAAATATTTTCTTCACCACTTTAAGGATACTTATTCTTCATACACTACACATTCTTTTCTCCAAAGGAGAGGTTTCACTTCTGCATTTGTTATGGCAATCTAAAGTTAATATGACTCAAGAGTACTTACCGGTCTTAAAGCTTAGTTCATCATGCTCTTGACCTTCGTAATCGTACAATGCTCGTACTCTCACTTCCAGTGTAGGGGAGGAATCCTCATCAAAAGGATTGGTTTCTGCTTGGGTATCATTGGATGAAAATGGATTGCTGGTCTCTTCATCAGACCATTCGGTTCCATAACTTTTCTCATAACTGCTAACACTAAACAACAGGAAAGTATTTTAGTTTGCTGAGGAAAACAAATGGGGTACACATATACCAACATAAGGGGTATTTATTTAACAAAGCTCTTTTTTGTTATCAAGATGCTTAAAACTAAAGTGAATTTGAACATGTAGTGCATTTAGGGATGTAAAGAGTGCACACATAGAACATTAATATCCAAACAATATTGAGAACCAAAAACAACATCCTTTTGAAGAATAATGTTAAGCGGTGAGAAAGCCTCAGAAGGGGATACATCAAATGACCACAACCAACAGCAAAGCTCCAGCAGCAGTTTCAAAGCACACTACCACAGTTAACTCTTGTGGAACCAGTGAAGAAAAACAAAACATGACAGAGCATCAGTATGTTAGTCAAGTTTGTAACAAGTACATAATCTGTCAACAAAGACTTCATGCATTGTGCAGCATAATGTTTTTGTAGAAACCCGGAGTTGGAAACCCTGGATAGAAAAGTAGAAGCATGAAAAACAATTTGAGAACAGTCTTTCACCAACTTTTTGATTTTATTGTCCTCCTTTTCACTGACAGTACTTCCAGTATCTTCTTCATCTTCAAAAGGATTGTAACTTGACTGTACTGACTGCACTGTGTTACTCGGGACACTAAGGTTGCTATTTGGGAGAAAAAAAGCATTAAGTAACCCTACCATTTTACGGAACCAACATATATGATACCATAGCCAGGCATGCAAATTATTTTGTCTGGCTTGCCTTTTCAAAACACTTATTTCAAACTAAAACTGCATCTTCTACATTAACACTTCAATTTCTATTCTGGCAACAATGATTTGTATCTTACTATTCTTCAGAAATAATGCCTGCTCAACTGATTATTATATGTAAATATCATGTTTCCCCAAAAATAAGCCCTACCCTGAAAATAAGCCCTAGTATGATTTTTCAAGATGATTGTAATGTCAGCCCTACCCAAAAATAAGCCCTAGTTAAGTGAAACCCTGCCCTCCACCAGGGACTCACTGGGATCCTCCCAAGCCCTCAAGAGAGACTTAAAACTTCTTCCCCTCCTCTCCCACTTCCCTCGCTCACGGAAGGGCTGGGCAGCCAGGGAGGAAGGAGCTCCATGCCACCACGAAGTTGCTCCTTGGCTCCTAGGTTCCCAATGACTCTTGGGGCTTCCTCCTCTGCAGTGTGTGTACTTCCCCCCTCCAGCCTGTGCCCAGGCAAGGCTAATGAAGCACAAGATTGGAGGGGGGCAATTTCGGAGCTCTGGCCCCTGCCAGCCAGCCAGCCAGCCAGTCCCCCATCCTACCTTCATTTTCCCTCTCCCCTCTTTCTCCTACCATAAGTCTTTTAACCCTCCTCTTGTTCAGCTCCCTCTTTGGTGCTGCTGGTAGGGCCACTGCCGTGTTGAAGCAGCTGCCACGCTTTCCTCAACTGGGCTCGCCGGCTTCGGAACCCCGCCCCCTTCCACACCAATGCTGCCCCCTTCACTGCTGCCATTGTTTCCTGCAAAACAAACCCAGTGCCTGCCAGCCCCAACAGGAGCCTCAGCCGAGGCACTACCACTGGAGGAACCCGAGCCACCACTGTGGCACCTCCTGGCAGTGGCAGAGGCACCTCTGGAGGAAGTGGCACCAGGTACATTTTAAAAAAGGGGAAGGAGAACGGGAATAAATTAATAATAAATAAAATAAATGATGGTAATTGAATAAATGTAGATTGTTGTTCTTAAAAAAAATAAAACATCCCCCGAAAATAAGCCCTATTGCGTTTTTTGAGCAAAAGTAATTTAAGACCCTGTCTTATTTTCGGGGAAACACCGTATACAAAACAGTGCCTGCAGTCTGGTTCTGACACTATGGAAGCTAATTAAGTTCCTAGTTGCCAGCTCTGGTTTGAAGACAAACCGTTGTCAGTAGTTACGTATAAATAGACCTTCTAGAAAGCTACACTTACCATTACAAAAGAATGAAAAGGCATGCACAAGCTGACAGGGCACTCCAGATAGCCATCCATGATGACCAAGCAAGGGCCATTTAATACACATAGCTAGAATTAGCTATTAGTATCAGTATCACACTAGGCATGGCCATCACTATGTACAGCAAAATGAGCCAACTTTTCAGATCTTTTGAAAACTAGAGCAATTTATTTCATTTCACATTTACACTGCCTTTCTCCCAGCACAGGGACTGATAGCAGCTCACAAATAATACTAGGAATTTTTTTAAAAAAGGATTCTGAATACCATTTCCTAAATATGGGGAGCAGTTTACATTGTAAAGTCACTTACTGATCTGCACCGCAAAGCAACTGAAATATAAATCACTGTTACTGTAGAGGTAGACTAAGGTTGCCAGGTGAGAGTTCACTCTCACACAGCTTACTCTCCGGGGAATAATTCATCACAATCAAGGTTCCCTCTAAGCCCCTCATGCGTGACTCCACCTCCCTCTGCTCAGCTTTCTTCCTCCTTTGCACAGCAATCTCATTCAACCACTTTGGTTCCAGTCGCGACAGAATTCTGCGCACAGGGGGCAGAGTCACGTGCGAATGCAGGGGCAAAGTCGCAGGTGGCAGAGTCCCGCCCAGCAGGGCTAAAATTAGAGAATAGGTTGATCACAATAGACCAATAAACCAACCCCCCGTGTAGTTCATGGGTACAAAAAGTTTCATATTAAAGTATGGTCTGCATGCACGTAACAGCCTCTTTTTTTGGTAGTACACAAACTTTCACTGATACATAGAGAAGAATAGAGTAGGATAGTTGAAGTGCTAGATCAATGACTATGTTTTAAGTCCTACTGACAAAGCTTCAATACCCCTCATTTCAGACTGGAGATATGTATGCTGCATGACCCAGAACACAGAAACACAGTAGTAGGCAAATGGATAGCTAAACATTAATGAGTTGCACAAAAGAATTAATAACCACTCCAGTTCATGCAAAACACTTTACATTTACATATAAGGAGTCTCAACCACTAATGGATATCTTCATATGTTACTGCACTGCTGCTGGCAGCAGTTCCTGTATTTGACATCAGAAACATTCTGGGGCTTTATTCGTGATTTCCTTTCCACACAGGCAAGTTGTTGAAAACAGTTAATACCATTTACAAGCACAAGAAAACATGCATCTTTGTTACTATGTAATGCATAGTCTCCATACAACTATTGCAATAGTATGCCCCGTTTCTAACTTATGATACAGAATTAATTCATTCTGATAAATTAACTTGCCAATATCATAGTATTTGGAACTAGCAGAATTTAATTAGCAAGTGTGAATATTTGAGGAAAAATGATGAAAATGACTGCCTACTTTTTAGAATAAAAACTACAGTAGCTCTGTTTTTGCATAATTCTCTCTAGATATCTTTTCCAACCTAACTCCTGGAAGAGAGAAGACCTTTGTTTCTCATACTTCAACCTACACTCTTAAGCTAACCAAGGCAATGCCATCTTTTTCAGAATGCAGCCTCTTCCCTGACTGTGATAATATGCAAATATCCCAAAATCCTTTGACGATTTAATCTCCAGGGTCAGAAATGATCCTAACATTCAATATCTACATAATCTCACACCTCAGTCAGCCATTCACTTCTCCACAAGGTGAAGGAGCATTAAAGGAAAAGCGGAACAAGCATTTAAAGGTTGAGGGCTATTCCTTCGTAGGCTGACAATGTACAAATAGGTCCTTGAATACTAGTTTTTCTACAACAAAAAAGCACACATTTCCAGTAAATATCAAAATAGTACTATTTCAGACTTCAGTCAGCAAATGATGCTACGATATATAATTTGTAAAAAATTACACATACCTGCTGTTTTTGTGCTGTGAAACCTGATCTCCTGTCTGGTTAATACCAGTAAGAGTCACCCCGTCTGCAGCCTTTTTCTTCTCTCTCCTACTGAGAGTGCGATTCAAATCAGCAGACCACTCCTACAAAAAATTAGTGAGATACCTTTGAAGAACACAATTCATATACTCACTCCCTTTGGTTTCGAGGTCTCTTATCAGGAAATAATGGGTCAAGATGTAGAAGCCAGGTCAAAATAATTTACGTGATTTCCCAAGTGGCACTCTACTGAGATGACACTGGGTGACATGTATTATATATACAGTGGTGCCTTGACTTAACAACTTAATCCGTATTGGAACGGTGGCTATAACTCAAAACGTTCTTAAGTCAAAGCAGCATTTCCCATAGGAATGCACTGAAAACCGATTAATCCATTCCAGCTGTTTTTTGTCCTTATGTCAAGGCACCGTTCTTAAGTCAAAGCATTAGTTCCCATAGGAACTAATGCAAAGCCAGTTAATCAGTACTCTACCACTAGGGGGAGAATTTTTTTCTTTTTTCTTCTCTTGACCTAAGATGAACTTAGGTTAAAAAAAAGGGCAGGAAAGGGTTTTTTTCCCATTCTTAATTCAAGACACGGTTCGTAACTCAAAGCAATATTCCGCATACGGAGTTGTTTGTAACTCAAAACATTCGTTTGTCAGAGTGTTCGTAAGTCAAGGCACCACTGTATATTAACTTGAAAACATCTGGAATTTCTAACGCTTAATCCTCTTTATCTGGTTTAGTCAAGGTGCTACTTTTATTATTGCTCCACTATCCAAGGAAAGCCCAGAATCTGTGACCTTACAAGAGCCCAGACCTGCTCCTGTTGCTCAGCAAGACTGCCATCTGTTTTCTGTTCACCTGGAAAGTGACATTCTAGGACAACCCAACTCTTCTGTAAGTCTTGGCTTTCTAAAGATACAATTTGTTTTAGATCCTGAAAACTTATGCAATTCCAAAGACCTTTATGCTCGAATACATTCTTGCCATTCTTGCATGCCTGAACCCGATTTCAGGCGATTTCAGAAGAAGTATTGTTAAGACAGGTGAAATCTTATCGATCGTGAACTTCAGACTTTGGTTGAAAGTCTAAGTTTTCAACCTTCATGATTTGTATTTACCCCTATATGTTATGAACTGCTCCTCCCTCTTCCCAGTGGTTGCAGACAGAGCTCAAGAAATTTGAAACGTTCTCACTCACTTTGCAGCTCTCATTGTTCTAATCTCTCTCTTCTTGCCTGGGGCCAAACTCAAAAGCATCACATTATTCTGATATAAATGTTTATGCCAAAACAAAGAACAAGAATGGCAGCCCCACTTCATTAAAGGTGAACCTGAAGTTTTGGCATATTAAAATTGTTTCTTTTCCTCAGTCTTTTCTTCTTCAGCTCCCTGAACCACACCACAGCCTGTAAAATTCCTTGAACCAAAGGAAACAGTTTCAAGAGACTAGGGTGTTTGGCAAGGAAAGGAAGGCTGGGAAACTCTGTGGCCACTTAGTCCCACACATTAATCTTTGGAGTCAATTCTTTCCTTCTTAGTAACAAGCTCAATTTGTACACAGAGATCAAGACACAAAATGCATTTTGGTATCCAGTGCCAGCAAAATAACTTTATTCTCCTTCCCCCATTTCTACTACTATTCATTGTCCCAACAATCCTGTTTCATTGGGTTTCTGAGCCCTTTAGAGCAGATTTTTAGGGTGTTTAGGGCACTGCAATCCTATAGTCACTGCTTCTGGTGGAAGAATCAGGACCCAGCAGAGGTACACCATTGGTTTCTGGCCAGTGGCTTGAATCTAAATTTATAAATGTGTATGAAAAATAAATATGAAATCACGGCTGAAAAGTTGTGCAAATAGCCCAGGCATCACTTGGCTTACTTTCATTATAATTTAATTTACAAGTGTGAACAACAAAACTAACTTTAAGTAGAGAGCATTTAAACTGTTTTAACACTTACTTCATCCTTGTAGCATGAAAAGCAAACAAAATAAAGATTAGGAGAGGGATCATATTACATTTAAAAACCTGTCTTCACTTTTACATGAGGTTCTAGTGTAAAGTATTTGAATAGATGCATACAAAGACATTAAAGTGGCAGAATGGAGGGAACATGTTATAACATTCACTTAGTAAAGTATGCAATTTGGACTTCATATAATTTAGCTTTATAGTTGGATAGTTGGATTCCTTGCACATAATATATTCAGTGAGCGGGATTTACAATGTAATTTTAGGCATAATTATTTCAAAGTAAATCCTAATGTATCATTCCAACCGAGCATAGCAACGATAATCCATTCCGGACAAATTGTCGCTATCCAGAATCGTCGCTATATGGAACAGAAAACCCCATAGGAACGCATTAAACCCCGTTTAATGCGTTCCTATGGGGGATAAACTCACCGCTATGCGGAAATCCTCCATACGGCCACCATTTTAACCACTCAGTATGTGAGGGAAAGGGCACGAAAATGCTGTGGGTGGCCATTTTTTGGGGCGCGAAAACGCTGTGGGTGGCCATTTTTTGCTTCCAGCAGCCATTTTGGAACAGCCGATCAGCTGTTTCTAAAACATCGCAATGCGAAGATCAGTAAGCGAAACGCGTACTGATCATCGCAATGCGATATTTAGCCATATAAACCATCGCAATGCGATCACTTTTGCAATCGCAAAATCCGCATCGCTATGCAGATTCGTCGTTAAATGGGGCGCTCACTATGCGGGGCACCACTGTACAGCCTTAATTTCATTGACCCTTTTCATGGAAAGCTTGAACTTGTGAGTGTTTTATCAGCCCAGGGCTTGCTGTGAAATACATGCATACCTTGTCAGCAGAATTTAACCATGATTATCAGAAATCACAGACCCTCTCTAGGGATGACTTAACACAATTTTTCCTAATTCCTAATTACTCTTTGCTCAATATCCAATTCATTTAAAAAAATTAAACTCTCAAGAAAGCAACATTTCACTGACATTAACCTGTCATTAATTTTGTGCAGTAAATTACATCATCTTGGATCTGTAGTCTTATTTTAAAGCAGACAGAAGAGTGTCAAATATTATTAAGATCTAAAACATGTATATAGATAGACAGACTAGCCCATCAATATTTCATCCAGTATTGAATGTTCCATTGCAAATAATTTAGAGCAGTGGTCCCTAACCCCTGGGACTGGGCCGCAGACACAGATCTCTTACCCCCAAAAGCGCCCCCTCGCGAGCACTGTTGCACGTATGTGCACAAGCATGTTCTGCCCCTGCGAGTGCAATGTACACATGTGCACAACCGCATCCACTCCCTGTGGAGCATGCTGTGTGCATGTGCGCAAGTGCAATGTGAGCATGCGCACGAGCGGGGCATGCGCCCCCCCACACCTCAACCAGTCTGCGGTTGGGGACCACTGATTTAGAACCACTTTTTAAAATATTATGTAAAATTCAACAGTGCAACATGCAAAGGAAATAGAAGTGTTCGACTTATAGCATAATACTTCTAAGGGTAAGAACAGAAAGTGGCCAGGTGAATTAAGCCACAACCTGAAAAATGAGTCTGCTTACTAGTTTTCAATACAAAAATACTTCATTTTAATTAATTAACCTTTCGCCTTTTCACAAAAAATAGAGATTACAGCAAATGACATAGTAAAACACACATAAAATTAAATTATAATGGAGGTATTAAGCATCAAATAAAACTGCATCAAACAAAAACATGCTGGATAAAATCATAGACATTTGAAAAAGCTCTCACTAGATTAAACTCACCTTATCAGAAATGTTAGGGATAGAAATTTTTGATTTCTTGGACTACAAATTCCATAGTTCCCCATGAATACCTGACTTACGCTCTGCTTACAGATATTTAGATGTGGCTCATCTGAGAAAACAGGCTTTAACTGGAAGGCTTTGAGGCTCAGCTAGGCCTAACTCGAGCCAAACATTCTGCTCCTGCCCCAGCACTAGCTGGCAATGTTCTTCAGAACAGGGGAAGCTACACAGATTTAGGCCTACCTAAGCTGTGGTT